TAAGTGGAACTACCTTTTATTTTAAGCTGTATAACGGTAAATTGCAAATATCGCGAAAACGTACTTATCCATAGAAAAAAAAATTAACTCGATTTTGGGAATCACCGAGGAAATTCTACATAGAAATTGGATAGTGGCGTCTGGAGAACAAACACCAAACTAAAAATTTGTGATCCACTGTTATTCGAACATTGAACGAGTGCTTAACCTATACAGAGGCCTCTCGCTCCCTTCCCTTTCGTTTCGATAAAAATTACGTACGAAAGGATGTAGTAAAATTTTATTTTGACAAACAAAAACATAAAAACATGAGATCATGAGATCATTACAACGTACACCAGCAAAACAAAACAATTTATCACAATTAAAGCACAGAGAACTTTTCACAATGCATGTACCGTTTTGTTCCTTATAAAAATACAGTTTATACTAAATACATCAGAAAACATAAAAATAAAATTTCTAAACTTTGTGCAAAACTCGGGAAAATGCATTAAATTTGCATACAAATTCGCAGCTTTCTATTCAGACTTTTTATAAAAATTTTGAAAATGAAGTTTCGCAGCCCATAAAAATTTAGTTGATTTTTGGTATTGTTTTTACTGATAGTTTCTTCCATACAAACTATGTTCGAAACTTTTTTGTATGTGGAAGACACTGGGCCTTATGCATAAAAAGTGAGCTTAAGCTCAGACTCAATTTNAATTTTGAAAATGAAGTTTTGCAGCCCATAAAAATTTAGTTGATTTTTGGTATTGTTTTTACTGATAGTTTCTTCCATACAAACTATGTTCGAAACTTTTTTGTATGTGGAAGACACTGGGCCTTATGCATAAAAAGTGAGCTTAAGCTCAGACTCAATTTTTGCAGTGAAGGGGTGAGNTTCAGACTTTTTTATAAAAATTTTGAAAATGAAGTTTTGCAGCCCATAAAAGTTTAGTTGATTTTTGGTATTGTTTTTAATGATAGTTTCTTCCCTACAAACTATGTTCGAAATTTTTTTGTATGTGGAAGACACTGTCACAAAAAAATAAATAATTGCAAAAAATCAACGAAATTTTCTGGTAACTTGAGACTTGGACTTTACTAATTGGCTCAAAAGCTACATTTCCAAAATTTTCTAAAAGATCTGATTAGAAATTGTGATCAGATGAAAGAGTCTCCGAGCCAATAATTTTGTACGGCACGGTACTTATAAGTAATCTAGGTCTCACGAAAGAAAAAAAATTAAATACAAGGTAACATTAAAATATCAGTCATTTGTTTCGTTGCTGTGAACTTGTTTCAAAACTTCTGGCTTTTGCTTAATATAATTGTAAAACTCTGTGCATGTCATTTTAACGTATTTAGGTACATACTTATATTAATCATTTACTATTGCTTGTGCAAAACGTGCTAAATTAAAAAAAAAAAAAAAAAACAAGTAAGAGCAGCGCTGTCTTCGGCTATGCCCTTTCATGAGCATTTGAAAATTTCACTTTAACAGATTACTGCATTTGAATAAATTTATATAATCACAGCAGGCATAGATAGAGCAGATACATATATAAAAAATCATATCTACACAATCAGAGGTATGGAAGATATACCTTATAAAACACCAGTCTAAGTGATTTTCACTGCTGTGTGATCGGTACGTAAACCGGTAACACAATTTAATGGGTTTAGCTTCCTACATAAAGGAGGTACATATATCGCAAAAACTGGTACCTGAACAATCAGTGGTACAAGAGATTAAGATTATACAGCATAGATTTTGACGATTTTCTCAGCAGACTTTGTATTATTATTTAAAAAATAGCTTACGAAATGTATCGGTTTTAGCTGTCCAACTAAAGGAGTTTTACAGTAAAACCCCATATCTGAACAACCAGTTGTATGGGGCAATAAACAGGTTATAGTGACCCGATCTTTGTTAATTTTACTGTAAACTTTCTGTTGATAATAGTGCGAAATTTCATGTTTCTAGCTGCATAAATGGAGTAGTTATAATAAAAAAATCGCATATCTGAACAATCGGTTGTATGGGAGCTATATGTAAAAGTGACCCGATCTTTGTTAATTTTACTGTAAACTTTCTGTTGATAATAGTGCGAAATTTCATGTTTCTAGCTGCATAAATGAAGAAGTTATGGCAAAACATCTCATATCTGAACAATCAGTTGTATGGTGGATATAGATTGTAGCGACCTGATCTTCGCCATTTTCACTGAAAGTATTCTTTTCNTTGTTTGCTTACTTGTAGAAAAGACAACAGCTGACCAGTGTTGTCAACGAAAACTGCCCGGATCCGAGTTAATTCCCAAAAATTTCGTGCATTTGTTCAGCTTCTTATGCGCATATTAAAGAGGAAAATGCATGAGTCAAAGCAAATAAAGGCTGGTTATGCAAATAATCGAGCCCGTTTGTCTACCGTATTATTCTGGTACTTACAAACATCGGACCAAAGTTATAATACTATTTCCTGCTCATGAAAGGTNATCTCGAAAACTGAGAGACTAGATTGCATACAAACAGACGGACAGACAGACAGATAGACAGACAGACGGACAGACGGACAGACATGGCTAAATCGACTCAGCTCGCCGTTCTGATCATTTAAGTATACATTTTAATGTATCTATCTCTTCTTAAAGCTGTGACAGACGGCAAAGCTTATGCATATAATCTGGCATACATATGCGCATAATAATTTTGACCTCACAGACGGCAGTTATGCGGATAAACGAGCCGCAAGGTCGTGGNATTCAACACCACGTGTGCGTGGTATGAAAGTATTGTTTTTAAATACGAAAAAAATGATAATCAAATAAAAAAAATTCATGTTTACTACGAGTTATTTCCCCCAGTAAATTCATAAAATTTTTCTTAATATTACAACGCATTTTATCTCTCAGTGTAGTCATTTTTATGCAAAATTTGTGCAATCAAATCGAAAACCGGGACACTTAAACGAAACCCGGGACATTTTAAGGTTGGACCGGGACACCGGGACAAATAGTCTAAAACCGGGACATGTCCGGGAAAACCGGGACGTCTGGCAGCCCTACCCATGAAGCGATTTCTTAGAGGCTCGTATATAAGGCCGGCTGCATTGAACAATTTCTCATTTGGAACGCTGCCGGGTAGCGCTCAAATATGTATTTGCGGGCCAGATCTGTCAATTTGTCGTATTTTAGTTTAGTTTTCCACCAATCGAGAGGATTTTCAGAGATGGGCTCGTTTTTCTTTAAGGCAGGCCTTCAATTAAGCTTTAATTTTACATTGAATGTCTCCAGATTCTACATCCGAGCCTTTGCTTTCGCTGAGGGAATCTAAAATTAGTTCACAGAAAGTCAAGCGACGCCGAACGAAGCAAGGCGGAACAAAGCGAAGCTGCTGGTGTTCACACTGAACGAAGCGAAGCGGAGTTTTTCTCATGGACTAGGCTGCAGAGGTACCACAAAACTTACCGTCAATGAAAAGCGGCAAAAATATTTGCTCAATTTTATTCAAAAGATTAGTTGTTAAATTCGTTTTTATTTGAATATTTTGCTATTTTGTTTACAGCAGGGTCATGAAGCTGAAAAATTAAATAGAAAATTCAAAATCAAAAACTGTTTTGCTCTCAGCTCCAAAACACTAATGAAAAAGATTGAAATCTTCACTCAGCTCGGAACGGCTACGATCGGCTCGACTCCGCTTTCTGTGTGAACGTACCCTTAGCAATACTTGTTGAAGGCCCATCAATTTGCTTGATATACTACTTAACCGTTTAGCGCCTGAAGCTAAAAGCCGGCTACTGAAGCTTGTAATGTAATGTAAGATATAAACATTTCATTTAGAAACGTAGTGTGGTGCAGGCAGCTCTTTTAGCAAGAAGAAAAATTTTGAAAGGTGCACCAAACCATATCTCGGGATATTTTTTTTAGACCACTTTAATGTACATACGTGGAAAGAGTAATCATTAGTTAATAATTTCTTTTTTTTTTTGAGTAATGACAGTAGTGAAGTAACAAAATTTTTACTGAAAAACAACCTCCAGAAAAATGATATTCTTATACAGGGTGGGACAACTACGACCTACCAATGTTAAACACGTATAACTTCTTCAGTTTTTAATATTATTAATCTCTTGGAAAATCATAATGGATACTTATAGCAAGACCACCAACCGCGACTACAATACGCTATTCGTTTTACACAACTAGCACACAAATTGATTTGTTAGGTAATGTTTTGATGTAGGATGAAGCGCATCAATAAGCAAAACTGTAGATTTTGGGGCCTTGAAAATCCAAGGGCAACACACCTGCACTAGTTAAACCCATCCAGATGCACTGTTTGGTGCGACGTTATGACCGAAAAAGTTATCACCCCATATTTCTTCGATTTCTGGGACTTCTTACAGAACAATGATTGACAACTTTTTGCGGCCAACGGCAGAGCAGCATCCCAATTTGTGGTTCCAACAAGATGGAGCGACTGCGCACACTGCTAGGCAAACAATGGACCTGCTGCGTGAAATTGGTAGGTATTATTTGGCTCACCCTGTACAAAAATCCATCTGGGCTTAACTGTCATCGATGATGTTGATGCTGACCTCGAGCAGCGCTAGTTAGAATAATTTGTTATTAAATTGCATAGTTCGAATTAACCTCAGTGATGACAGTTAAGTCTCAGATGGATTCTAATATCAGAAAGTAGTTTTTGTGAAAATTGCAGATAGGTTGTGTTGAATATAAGCCCTCGATACATACATACACACATATGTGGAAAATTCCATGTCAACCGAACAAAAATTGGCTGTTGATTTTTAGTATTCCATATGCATATGCCTTTTCAGTTCCACATTTGAAAATTTTATATACATATGTACATCGGAGTTCCTTTACAAACAACGCTATTTTTGATGGGTTCTCATCATGTCTCATTCTCTCCTATACCTATTTGGCTTTCAGGTGAACTAAACTTCCATGCAAACTACATAGTATTTAGCTGATATAAAATGCTTTACTCACCCTGCATTTTCGGCTGCAGCAATTGACATATGGGGTTCATCTGTTAGCTGCAACTTAGATGTCCCCCTGGAGCGTATCCACAAGGGATTGTGCACGACGTGTTTTTAAAATCGTTTTGCTTACGACTTTATCAAAACTAAAATTTAATGATCTGAACTGATACAATTCTTGCACGAAAAAATGTCAGTTGAAGCAGTTTTGTTTTATTTTCGATAGATCGATTTTTTTATGCTGAAAAGGAAATACGGAAATACATTAATATTTATATTAAAAAGATATGCTTCGTTTACATTAAACCAGTAGCATGCCAGTCCAGTGAGCCAGGCCACGGCTGGACTGGCACGGCGACTGTCTACAATAAGGGAAAATAAGTTAAAATTTTTTTTTTAAAGATTCAATTGTTAGCGGCACAAGAAGTTATCTATGAGTTTGATGAGGAATAAAAAATGATTAAATCCTAAATCATGTAATTGGTTACAACTGTTTCTTTGGTTCTCCATGAAATCTTCATAGGTACATACATATACACATACATAATATGTTTAATTTTTCAATATATGTACTTGTAAAATGTAAAATACAAACAAATCTTTTTCTGATAGTGAATTATATATCTATAGCCTTATTTTGTATTCTTCGTGAATACTAAGATATTACAGTGTCTTAACTCTAGACTACAATATTTTTTTTTCAAACTAGCGAATTCCTGGCTTGCTTCGCGACGCCATATAAGAACTTTTGCGTTGACCAATACGAAAATAGTGTTGCTATGCAAAATCCGTTTGTAATGTAAAAATTATTAGTTTAGATTGAATGGACTGAAAAGCAGAAACCTCTCTGAAGTTGGTAGGACAACTTTTTCTCAAAGCAAAAATTCCTATCGGATAATTTGCCGTTAATTATCCGTAAATTATCCGTGAAAACAATAATTTTGCCGCGGACATATTTTAAAAAATATCGCGTGCCCTGCTAACTTCCGTGGAAACCAATTAAGGAAACCAGCTAAACCCAAACTAACTATCGGATAATTTGCCGTTAATTATCCGTAAATTATCCGTGAAAAGAATTATCTTGCCGCGGACACATTTTAAAAAATATCGCATGCCCTGCTAACTTCCACGGAAGTTAAACCAATTAAGGAAACCAGCTAAACCCAAACTAACTATTTGATAATTTGCCGTAAATTATCCGTAAATTATCCGTGAAAACAATAATTAATTAATTATAAATAAAAAATATCGCGTGCCCTGCTAACTTCCGTGGAAACCAATTAAGGAAACCAGCTAAACCCAAACTAACTATCGGATAATTTGCCGTTAATTATCCGTAAATTATCCGTGAAAAGAATTATCTTGCCGCGGACACATTTTAAAAAATATCGCATGCCCTGCTAACTTCCACGGAAGTTAAACCAATTAAGGAAACCAGCTAAACCCAAACTAACTATTTCATAATTTGCCGTAAATTATCCGTAAATTATCCGTGAAAACAATAATTAATTAATTATAAATAAAAAATATCGCGTGCCCTGCTAACTTCCGTGGAAACCAATTAAGGAAACCAGCTAAACCCAAACTAACTATCGGATAATTTGCCGTTAATTATCCGTAAATTATCCGTGAAAAGAATTATCTTGCCGCGGACACATTTTAAAAAATATCGCATGCCCTGCTAACTTCCACGGAAGTTAAACCAATTAAGGAAACCAGCTAAACCCAAACTAACTATTTGATAATTTGCCGTAAATTATCCGTTGTTTATCCGTGAAAAGAATATTCTTGCCGTGGAAGTCAAAATCTACGGTCTATTTTTTCGCAGAAGCCCAACATTTATCCAGATCAGCGACGCAAAAATTATCTCTCTCTCTTGCATGGCTTCACATGGCGAAGAATTAAACGTTATCTCTTCTCCAAGCGCATATGTCTGTACATATTAGGGACGTTGCGAATGTAGAATTTTAGACATCCGCGGATACGAATGCGGATGCGGATGATTAAAAGCTAACATCCGCGGATGCGGGTGCGAATGCGGATTCATGTATTTTTATGAAATAATTTAGGTGGGTGAATTAGGTGATTTAGGTAAATAAAAAATGGAAAGGTTAATAATTTTTAATAACAGTTTTGCCCGAAAAACATTCACCCGAAAATTTGTATTCCGCCCATAGTAAATATGTACATGAAAACCAAAAGTGAAAAGTGAACCGGTTCGGGGAAAATTAAACTCATGATAAGACTGAATGTTTTTTTAGTACTTTAATTTAAAAATTGGAACATTGTACTTAATAAAAACTTACAACTACTCGCTCGAGGCGACAAACTTGAAAAACTGGAGACTTGACAAAATTGTAAATTCTTTTCGATTGACACTGCAGGAGAGGACTTTCAGTTATATTTATTTATTTTTATTGCGGTGCAATAATTACTTTTTGAGAATTTCATCGGGGCTGCAAATGTCGGATGTATCCTCCTGACTTTCCTCTTTACAATCTAACATCATGGCACAATCGTTGTTTAAACACCGTTTTTTTTCGAAAGAATTCTTCATTCTCATCCTTTTGGTTGTTTCAGAATTTGTCACGTCATCGGCGTTTCTCGGTTTTAGTTTTGATTACTAATTTTTAATGCTTTCTTCTGTGACTGGTTAGATATACGTCTGTGCACTTGCACAATATTCCAGGGACCGAAAATAACAGTTATTTTTTTCCGAGTTAAATTTGGCCGTCGGCCGCTGTGGTGTAGTGGTAAGCAGTGCGCGCTTCCACTCCGCAGCACCAGGGTTCAAACCATGGTCAAAGCAACATCGCAAAAATAAAGAAAAAAAAGTTTTTTCTTAACAGCGGTCGTCCCTCCGAGTGTATTTCTGCCATGAAAAACAGCTTCTCACAAAAAATACAATCACCGTTCGGAGTCGGCGTAAAACTGTAGGTCCCTCCGCTTTGTGTGACAACATCAAGGCGCACGCCACAAATCGGAGGAGAAGCTCGGCCAAACACTATCTATTATTATTATTATTATTAAATTTGGCCTAATATTTTTTATTAAGAAATAAACGTCCTACCCGGATAATAAAGAAACCGCTTATCCAAATTAAACAAATTTGGTATCATATGAAAAAGGACTGAAATAGCTTTTAAACAGAAATAACGAATGAAGGTTACCACCTCTATTTATATATTTTTATAACTTAATACTAAAGAAATTCATGTAAATATATGACCCAATGTTTGTTCTATGGTAATTAATTACCATTTTTTATTGAAATATTTTTCAATGTGTGGCTTTCGTCTTTTAGATATTTCAGTTTTAAAGCTATTCAAGCCCTCTTTCATTAGATACCAAACTTTTTTAATTTGGAAAGCGGTTTGTTTATTATCTGGAAAGTACTTTTATTTCGGAATAAAAAATACTTGGCACAGTTTAAATCATAAAAAAATAACTGTAATTTTCGGCCCCTTTAATATTCGCATTCGCAAAAGATCCGCATTGATTTTTGCGAATGCGAAAGTGAATGCGAATGTTAAAATTAATGTGGAAACTCCGCGGCTGCGAATGCGAATGCGAATATTCGCAACAACCCTGGTACATATATTTGTAAACGTACAGTTATGTCGTCGCCTCCGACAGCTAATGTTTGGGCTCTTTAAGCACTTGCTAACTCCCTCCTGCTCAGGCTTGTCTATGAGAGACGCAAACATTTCCTCTCTCTCCCGCGCATGGCGTCCACGGAAGTTAGCAGGGCACGCGATATTTTTTGAAATATGTCCGCGGCAAAATTATTCTTTTTACGGATAAACAACGGATAATTTACGGCAAATTATCAGATAGTTAGCTGTCGGCTACCCATTTGAAAATACTGTCACATTAGCATTTTGACAGAGAAAATTTAAACGCGGGATATGCAATCAGCAGTATTTTTGCGCAGAGCAACTTTCCGCGTTGGCGGCCTTCGGCTTAATATTATTTCACAAGGCGTGTTAAGCATCGTAAAATTTCAAGTGTTAAAATTGGTCTATGTAAAATAACGGTTAAAATGGCAAAGCTTCGGAGCAAACAAGCAAGGAGCTAAGGAGCAAAGGATTTTGGCTGGAGCGGAGCTGGAGCAAAGAGCTAAACAAATTCATTTGCTCCTTAGCTCCTTAAAGAAAATGAAATTTACATAATTTTAATTTTTCCCACTGAAAACAACCGAGTTAAATAAATTTTCATTATATTTTTACGTGACAATACTGTTCATTGCACAATACTCAGCGGTCAGGGATGATTGTCACGTCAATTTAAACGGCAAACTTAACTTTTCATTCATTTTAGCATCCGGGAAACGTTCGATAATGATGGTGCTGAGCGTGCAGAGGATCGTGCCAGTATTTGTTAGCTTTCTGAGGGTATCGGGTTCGAATATCGTCAGTCGCTTCCTTAATATATATATATTTTTTTTTGTTTTCGAACCATGCAAAGGCATTTGTGAAGTGCAGAAGAAAAGCGTACTGAATGAAAAATTTCTGAAAAACAGCCAAAAACGTATCCGTATTAAATCAATTTTCGATTCTTGTCTGTAAATTGTTTCTACCGCATACTTTTTTCCTTTTCGGATTCATCTTCAAATTTTTCGCAGGCTGCCATTTTATTTACAAGCAAAATACATTGGGATCATATTAACAAAAAAAAAACAATAAAAAAATATAACAAAAATAATTGCTAAAAATGTTGGCTACTTTTTTGGCGGTTAGGTTATGGGTAACTAATTAAATAAGTAAAACAGTGTTATATTGGTAGCGGGAGCGGAGCTCGGAGCGGAATAAAATACCGGAGCGGAGCGATGAAAAAAAAAACGTTGCTTCGAAGCCCTGTTTTAAAGGATTTCAATTTAAACCGACATATTAAAAAAGTTTAAATTTAATATCTTAAATATTACGATGCTTAACACGCCTTGTGAATATCCTAAATTATATTAAGCGTCCAAAATATTTATTTCCCTTTGCCTTTGAGACAACAATTGTTTCCGCAGAATGCAAATTCACTATCAGTGTTGCCAAGCGTTGAATTTGGAAAAGCACTAAAACCCAAGGAAAATTGCGTTGTTTCTCGAAAAAAGCACCAAATTTTATTGGAGTATTTAATGCACTTTGTATGCATAAAAAATTATGTACATATTGTAGGGATGCCGATTCAAATTAACAAAAATCAATGTTTCTCGATTCTCGAATCTATTATGTTTTCTATAAATTCAAATATTCGCGTCCTAGCGACGTTAAACCGAGTTTCCATGACGCCCGAATTGCGCAATTTCGACACTATTCTCAATTTGAGGTTAAATTACGATACGATTCTCAATTTGACCATACAAACAACTTTCACCTGAAATTGCGTATGAAATTGCAACAACTTCGCGAATAAAACTCTGAAAATTGCTTATTGTGAATTAATAATCAGCTAACATGATTCAATAATACAAGGTTCGATAAACTGACAGTGGTATCTCTCGCACCGCTCCCTTAGCAATGGCACAGTGTTGCTTCTTTGCAAATTTACACGGAAACAGTGTAGCTTTGGTGTGAAATAGAAGTATAAGGTTTTGTGCAATATGTTTATATGTATATACATATGAAGCATATTTAACTGATGAAAACATAAACTGTTTTTAAATTGGATGTTTACATCAATCTCATAGTAGTCTTATTTTAAGTTTGAGTCATTTTGCAGTTTTTATACAGCTAAATAGCACATAAATTACGTAATTCACGTAGATATATAAATTTACGTTCACATTACATTTCATTTAAAATACCAGATTTCCTGCAAATACATTAGAATTTACAAAAGGAATTTCATTACTAAATGCCTACTTTGCGTACTTTTGTACTACAATTTTCGCATCAAGAGATTTCATTCTTCCCCTTTCTTCGTCCTTCGTAAATGCAAGCTTTTGTAAGGGAGTGTCAAACCGCAGCTGTCAATAATTATCTAACCTTGTATTATTGAATCATGATCAGCTAAAAGAAGAAAAGCAAACGTCAATAACTAGCAAATAAAAATAAAACAAACAAACCGAGCAAAACAAAACTGAAAAAGCAACAACAAACAAATAAACAAACTGTCATCGCAATTGAGATGGTAAACAGCTACAATTTCAAATTGAAATTGATGCCGAAATTTCGCGATTTCGGGCTGTGGAAACAGACTTTTAAGGTTCTTGTGTTTTAAATTTAAGCAAACTGCAGTCTCTAATGATATCGTGAACTAAATAATAATAATAAAGAAACATTAAGAACTTCGGAAAATCGGTTTTATCGGTAATCGGCTTACGCGGTTGCGAGGCATTTACGCGTTTAAATGAATACCCATTATGAAATTTGATTTCCCTTTTTTTCAGCTATTATCCACCGGCGCACAGTGGAAAGAAATCTTTATGTGATTTTTTCTCACCGTGTGGCGGCCAGCAGTTTGAAGTGCTAGGCTCAGGGTTCGGTGCCTGGTCCCAGCCACATGAAAGTATTTCTAATAGCAGACGCCATTCGGCAGGCAATGGCACTTCCCCGAATGTAAGTCTGCCATGCTTGCAAGTGCTGCTACATATTTTGTTTGCAAACATACATCTCGCTGATGATTGCCATAGTGCCATGATTTGGTTTCCATTTTTGTAAAATTGCTTACGAAACTTCCAATTGCTATAAATTTAATTTCCATTTTGTTTCTGATTTACCGATTTGGTTTCTCTAAACTAAAAAAAGCACAATGTTGGCAACAGTGCTCATTATTTTTGAATACCTAATTTTAAAACTTTTTTGTAAACATAGATTTATTTATAGTACATACATATGTATGTACGTAGAATACGGGTACGAGAAGAATTTGGTATCTGAATACAAACCGCCTTACTGACCTCAGTATTTGAAAATATCTGACGTATAAATGTAGAATTTGTTTATTCTTTTTGCATATTTCGCCGGGTAATGCCATTGTTGTTGTAGGTGATAATATTTAGTATACAAATACATATACAGTTCTGCTCGACTAATTAAGCCAGCGACCTTTTAACCAGTTTTTGGTTATTTTTATTTTGTTTATTTAATGTTTGTTCCTTTTTTTTACAAGTCTAGCCCATTATGTTTTTATAAAAAAATTATAAAAATTCTAATGTTGCGCATTTTCTACCATGTCACATAATTTTTTAAATGGAAGAAAATGTCTACCACCGTTAACATAAAAATTGCCAAAATTCAAATGTATTTTGTAGCCACTTTGTTGTGACCCAAGTACTAATGGACTTTCTGACAGGAATGTTCCGACGTTGAAAAACAAGTTGAAAACCATGACGTATGAATCAGGATTTATTCAATCAAAACTTAACGAAATATCACATATATATAGCGCAACATCGCTTATTTGGTGGAAAAGTCGGGAATAACTTTATTTAAACAGACGTGTTCGCATCAGCTAGGACGCACTGCAACCTACCGCCAAAGGTAAATCAACTATAACTACTCCGGGTTTACGTCAAATAAGCGTGGGAGAGAGAGTACAATATAAATGAAACGGCTTTCGTATGACCGCGATGCCTGACCAAACTGCTAAACCGATTTCGATTTTGTAAAAAGTGCTTGTTGGACCTTCTGTGTGGAAGGTTTTTCAATAAAAAAAAATCAATACTATTTGTTGTTGTTGCCAAAAAATGAAGAACGTGAGACGTCACGATTTCACAATTTCATAGAATTTTCTGTACATTGAATGTCACTAAACTACTAAACGGCTGGACCGATTTGGTTCGTATTTGTAATATACTGTGTCAGCACCTTGAAAGGAAATATTCCGACTAAAATTTTAATCGCTAGGTGGCACTGCGGTCGCGTTATTCCTAAAAACTGCATTTACTCATATTTACAACATAAATATTTGGACTAAAAACTTACACGATAGGTGGCATCGTGGCCGAGAGTTCCTACAATTTTGATACACTGGGAGAATGATGAATACACGGTTAAACTTTTCGGTTTTAATTTAAAACTTTTTGGACTACATACAGTATCGGTCATATCTATAGCACGCCATTTCAAAGTGATATTGTGTGCCACTTATGTTTATTTATTTATTTTTTAAGAATTTTCAATTAAAATACAGTTCTTTCTCTAACAAACCCCATATAAACCCAAGTTTAACAATTTGTAGAAAATTTCAAAAAAGTGCAACAAATTTTCACCTAAGTTTGTATGTACGTATATACATATGTACTTATGTATATAAAATTTATATTACATATAGAAAAAAGAAAGCAATTTTCTAACTTTGACCTTTAAAAAGCTTTATCTAAAAATCGAGTGCAATAGACTTTTATTTTAGTACTTCATTGCTAATGATAGGCAAGTTAAATGGTAATTTTCAGTTATTTAAGTTTTCATAATTTTTAATTTGTTTCTTTCTCTGAGCGGTGGTATCGACGCTTATAAGCTTAATAACCTATTCGTAATTTCTTTCACAATTGATTACTAATTCCTGGTTAAACTGCTGTTGTTACGTAAATTGAAACTGCATATATTGATGTCTTGTTCAAATGCCTAATACGACGGTCACTACACAAGTTCATAGATTTCGCAACAATTATGTATGTCGTTTGAGTCGATCTGACATTTGCGTCGTAAAATTTTACATTTTCTAGCACTAGTTATCGTTCTCAAAACCTTTTACAGTACGGCCGCTTTTGAGTTTGTTACAGTTACGTTAAAGTATATTAAAAAATCAATAATAAAATTAGTTAATTGTAAAACTAAATCTTTTTAAAGCAAGCTTTACTGGTTAACCAAATATATCGACTCGTGCGCTACCCATCGGCAAAATTTTCAGTGGAGTTATTCTTTTTTATGTAGTTAATATACGTTCTAAATGTGACCAAATCGGACTATAAATACGGGGTTTTCAAATATTTCGACTCCTGCGCCACCTATCGGAGTAACTCGGTATTGCATTGTCATCGGCTTTTGAGCCAACTGTGAAGCTTCAAGTCTCTAGGTCATCGGGAAGTTGATCAAAAATTTATTGCAAGACTTTCGCCTAACAAACGTACATATGTATGTATGTTATGTAGAGAAATAGAGATAGCCGAACAATTTTCTTAATAACGTTCGAGGAATGTCGATTAAAGAAAAAATAGTACGAATGGCAACTTTACTGTCACTCGGCGGTATAAGCGTCTAATATGGAATCCGCACACAACTTTTTTCTACTGTAGATGTTGTTCGGACCAGAGATTGAACTCCCACGGTTCCACGCAGTAACACCAAAAAGCGGTAGCTCAATTAAAAGGTTAATTGACTTAACTAAATTTCTGTCTGAACTTTATATTAAGCGTCGTAATTAGGCATATTAAGCATCATAATTAGGCGTACAAATTATGTTCTCGAAAATTAGCACACAAGAACTAATCTAAAAAACGATTGGTAGATATGTATATTCGGAATCAACCTCTCTTATATACCCTAGAAGTGTGAATGCCGCTCTTGCCTTTTGTCAGTCGACCAGTGTTATTTAACAAAATTAGATTTTTTCTAATGGTGATTTCATTTCTACCGAAAAAGTGTCGCCTTTTGATTGCCCTTTTCTCTTTTTATGTTCGATTCTAAATTAAAAGCAAAGGGTGAGAAAGTTTTGTGTTAACTTCTTAGAATGCCACACTCTTATAAGGCAAAAAAGGCACATTCTCTCCCCTGTGAAGCTTTGTCAGGGAAGATGGTTGTCCTGAAAATCGGATGGGTTTTTAATATGACAATATTATTAAATGCGTTAGCTGGATAAGGACCAAGCGGCAAAAACATGCCTCTTTACAGGGTTGAGTGTCAAACATATTTTGCACCGGGGAAGGGCAACATTTTTTGGAAGAAACAAAATCACCATAAGTCTCAGAAATGTATTAAACACATTGGAAGTACAGTTTTTGATTTACATACATACAACTAGATGTAAAATAAAATTGCGCATTCAATTGGCTACCTTCAGAAATTCATCTTAGTTAGGTACTGGCTCACTATACGATTTCCACTTATCTACTATGTTTTAAATCGAATTTTTTCCGGGAAAATTCATTAAAAATTATTAATTGATTATGCACATTCACTAGACATTTGCTTTTCGTCTTATATTTAGGTACATATATTAATTTTAGCTTTGCTTTCAAAATATTCGCACAACTTCATTTAGCAAACTTTTAGGTTCGTTCATAACCTCTTATACATATTTAGGTATGAAACCGATTACTTCCAGACACTTGAATTTCACTTTGCAATTTAATTTTTTGCTCTTTTCAATCAACTTTTATGTATCAATTTTATTACTCCACATATCTAATTATTCAACGATGTTATTCTTTATATTTGCTTAAAGTTTTTTATTATAATCGGCTTAATATTTACAATGAGTTCGTAACTTTCACACCAAAATACACCGCTCGTTTGCTTTTTTCAATCTAATTATTGTTTCACATTATGTATTTTTTATACAATACATATGTATTATTCGGCACTTGTTTAGATTTTGATTTAAAATAAAATGGGTACTTGGATATTTTACCTATTAATTAAATAATTTTCTTTTAAGAAGGTATTATTACATGCGTATGTATGTAAATATCTTTTCAAACGTTCAGTGGGTTTTAATAAAACATAAAAAGTTTTAAAATCCGTTTTGGTAAAACCATGGTCGAAGAGATCAGTACCTGTAGCGATTTTTTTTTTAATTTGCTAAAAATGCATAACAAAATTTTGCCCTTAACATATACCTATGTACATATATATACACTTGTATAGTATTTGTACATATGTATGTATGCATGCATATATGTATGTATGTATTTATTAGCACTTGTAAACGCCATAAAAACTAAGAGTACATATGTATGTGTGTACCTGTGTACCTGAATAGTATTAAAAATGCGAATAGAAATATGAAAAAGTGTTCAGAAGAAACGGGTAAATATGTATACGAAACATATGAGCAAACGGAAATGGCCTAAACAGAAAGTCGCGGTGACTACTACACTCTTATGTAAGTATGTACATTAGAACCCAACACGAGTTAATTGATGAATAAATAAGGTGGACTGAAAAGAGGTGTTGATGGTTGAGTTGAAAATATTTAAACAAAGTAGAGAAGGCGGCAAAAGTGCCGAAAACGAAATGAACGAAAAATTACGTTTTCAGTACGTAAGCAAGAACCAATATAAACAAGAAATCGACGTAAGAATACGTACACATTCACATTCATGAACATATATGTATGTATGTGTTTTAAGGCACATAAGTACAAAAGTATGTATGTATGTACATATGTACAGTTACGGTCAAAATAATAGATCCAAAATTCAATATGACATTGTTTGCAACTTTTGTTTATTTATTTATTTCTAATAATTTTCATTTAAAACACAGTTCAATCACATAAATAAAGTTTAAAAGCTTGCACAAAAGTACAAAAAATTAATCAAACTTTAAAATATTGTTTCCAACAGATGAAACTTTTTATTCAGAATTTTCATAGAATTTTTGATTATGCAAGTAACTTTCCAAATTTATCTGCCCTTTAAATACAAGCTTTGTTCTCAAAAAATGTGTAAGAAGGGCAGATAAATAATAAAAGCTACTTGAGAAAACAGCATAGTAAATAAAGTGCAAGTTTCAAAATTACCGTTGATTTTTGAGGATTGTTTTTGCCGAGGGTTTTGCGCATTATCTTCCATATATATTTTCCAAAAATTATGAATAAAAAGTTCGAAACTTTGATGACATTTGTTTGTGCCAGCCTTGAAACTTTCATTTGCGCGGTTTCTGTTTGTAAAAGCTGTGACAGACGGCAAAGCGTATGCATACCCTGACGGAAACAAGTGATTTTTGTTAAATCAACTAATTGAAAGACTACATTAAAACAAATGCAATGAGTAAATGTTTCGAATTTTTATATTCTTTTTGCTCAAAAAAACAATTTGTGTCTTGGAAGCATGAAAAAGCATCTGTGAAGTCCAGAACGCAAGCGTATTCAAAAGAAACATACTGAATTTGAAGTTGTGTAAACTAAATTCATTTTAAAGTAGTTGAAATTAAATGCAGAGTCGGACAGTCGTCTTGCTGCTTGCACACAATTCAAACTGAACATTTGAAAGCACATTTACATGACTGGCTGTAGCTGAGCGTGCAAAGATGTTTGCTACAATTGGTCGCAGCCAAGAATGTCCATGTTCAAATCTCATTAAATTCTAAATTTTTAATTTTGGTTTTTCTTAGTTATGAAAAACCATCTGTGAAGTGCAGAACGAAAGCGTATTCAAACGAAACATACTGACTTTGAAGTTGTTTAAAACTATGTTCACATATCAATATTATCTCAATCAAAGCTCGTTTTTTAATCACCCCGTTTACACAGGCAAATCTCAGATATCAGCCGTCAAATTTGTTGTGCTTGTTATTCTCACATCTCAAGGAAAATTTATGTTTCTTCTCTGTGCCACCGTGATCACGTTTTTCTGCTATAATAAGCAATATAAATATATTTTAACTTAACATTTTATTAAAAATACCTTTACAAACCTCTTTTACTTGCTAGCGTACATTTTTGTTTACTTTTCCATTTGGCATTTCTCCTCTCTTTCGCAAAAACAATTGATAAAACTAGGATGGAGACCGAAAAGTTATCGGTTAAATCTGAGATTATTTTATAATTACAGATTAACAAGGGACGAATTTTATATGGCTAATCTCTTGTTATAATTACAGATTAGGGTGTTAAGCTCGAAAATGAGGATAATCTACTTATATGTGAACCTAGTATAAGTTAAATTCATTTTAAAGTAGTTGAAAATACATGCAGGAAAAGGTAATTGACATGTAAATAAATGAGCTCGTTGCAGGTAAAATAGTGAGAATTTCGATTAGTTATCATTAAAAATAAAGAAGTTTATAAATTACCATCAAACTAATTCAATTTCCTGCAGGGTATAATCTGGCACACATATGCGCATAATAATTTTGATCTAACAGACGGCAGTTATGCGGATAAACGAGCCGCAATTTAAATTAACTAATAGTAAAATAAAAAATGTGATATAAAATAAAGCAAATGAAAATAAAATAAAGTAAAGTTAAATATATAGATCAAATAAAATAAAATATAAAATAAATAAAACCAAAAAATTTGTTCGCAATCGCTCCAACCGAGGATCGAACCTGGTAGCTACAGGCTTGTAGCCCGTAACTCCTAAAAGCGCAGTTAGTCATCGACGTAGCGTACACGTAGGTTGACGTACGTAGCAGCATATCAAATTTACTGTTGATAGAGAGAGAGAGCGAAGCAACGCCAACGTCACCGCCATGCGGTGGTGAGTTTTCTTTAGTACGCGAATCCCATAAGGTAGATCGTGTCTGCGTCAACCTACGTCTACGTTACGCCGTTGACTGTTTGCGCTTTAAAGCTGAAATTAGTCGAGAACGCAGAACGTATACTTAAACGCAGTCTGTATACGCAGAATTTTGTCGATTACTGGAGCCCTCAGTGTTGCTTACTACACTGTTGCCACTCATCAATGCCTTTTCATAAACTTACCCTTTCAACTACAATTTTTCGTGCTATAATAGATTGTAGCTAAATATAAACTACTTAGTTTTCAACAAAAACCTTATTCAATAGTAAATTTCAAATATTTTAAACATATTTTGAATAGGAACTTATATCTTTTTTACCATCTGTAAAACTGACGAAGTGGCAACCATCTAAAGAAGGAGAAATCAGCTGACACGGAAAAATCTAAATTCCGCAGATTTCTGCGCTACGGGCTACAACTACAGAAAAATTCGGCGGTGTTGAGTTTTCATTTACATGGCGCTTTGGTAAGACAGATCGTGTCAGCTGACTCGGGTTTACGTACCGGTAGGTTTACGTTCTTGACTAATTTCAGCTTATCACTCGGCTACCGCAGACGCGGAACTTGCGTGCTTTGTTTGCTTACTTGTACAAAAGACAATAGCTGGCCGTTTTTACCAGTGTTGTCAACGAAAACCCGGATCCGAGTTAATTCCCAAAAATTTCGTGCATTTGTTCGGCTGCTTATGCGCATTTTAAAGACGAAAATGCATGAGTCAAAGCAAATAAAGGCTGTTTATGCAAATAAGCGAGCCCGTTTGTCAACCGTATAAGGTGCAAACAATATCATATCTTCATAAAAAGTTTGAATAGTCAGACTTCAAGCTAATAACATTTTGAATTTTGATGCTATAATCTTGACCGCAGTTGTACATACACACAAACACAGTATGCATGTACATATTGAGATATATCTATGTATGTATGTTATTCATAAAAACTATGTATGTTTAATTATGAATATGTTGATGTTCTATAAAATTATGTAGAAGTGTCAAAAATATAGAATGCAAGGTGAAAGCGCAAGTTTTAAAAATTTGTGCAAAACGATTATCACGGAGCTTAATCTAAATACATACATATATATGTACATATGTATGTATGTGAATGTGATAAGGTCCACACTTCCGAAATTCACAAATTCATGCGGTAGATATGTACATACATAGTATGTATGTATGTATGTATGTATATGCATACATTCATATTTACGAATGTATTTAAATGTACACATCAAATTGCATGCATCTGTTACCACGTTTATTCGTTTGTCATTTCATGAAATCATTTCATGAAACGCAAATAAAAATGCTTGCATAAACAAAATTTAATGTATTTCATGAAACATAATATAAACGTAGTAGATATGTATGTACGTGTTCACGTCCAAGTACATATCGTCGTTTCAAGTACAAAACCGCGTAGCTGACATTGGCTGCCAAAAATTGGATTTGCTCACACAAGCTCTTGGCTCAATCCTTATCCATTGGTCCTGAAATATACTAGCCAGAAGTGCGATTTCTTTATAAAAAAGAGAACCATGTTGAAATATGGGTGTTTTTACACTCTAGAAAATGATTTCTAAAACTTCATATACGCGGTTCTGCATTTTGTTGATACGCGGTTTTGCACTTTAAACGACGATATGAATGTATGTAGGTATGTATGGATAAACTATAGATTTATATAAACGATAATTTATCTTTTTAATAACTCTTAAATTAAGTTAGTCCGCGTAGATATTTACAAAACTCGGATCCAAAATATGAACGATTAGTAAAATGTTCTGCATTTCATGATGTTCCTATAGATTTCACCAGTTCACACACAATATATACACCCATACATATGTAAATGTACTTATGTACATACGTATGCATGTTAAGGTAAAAATTCCGTAGCGCTAAGTGGAGTTTTTGTACAGCCATATATCGAAGAGGTCTGTATAAATGAGGGACGTGTGCGAGCTGGCAATATACGTATACCCATATACTCATACGCATGTAAATAAAAAAAAAAAAACAAAAAAAAAAATGTACATATGGTAGAAGTGGGGATTCGTATAAGAACGACCATATCACGACGTCAGCACACGGCGACATTAAGTCGATTGCTGTATAAATACTGAGAGTAAATTTAAGCGCAGAGAGAACGAAATGGTATGGGATCGGTTTTTTGGAAAAATCTATTGTAAGTCAATGTTCAAAGAAATTTTATTTCAATAAAAAACCTTTATCCAAGTACAAATAAATTCCTTAAATTTTGTCTATATTTATTCACTCCTTTGAATTTTAACTTTTTAGTACGATTATGTACTTTTAACATTCTTTTTCACATTCCTTTTTAACTTATAACTTTTTAGCTTTGAGTATAAAACCTCCACATCACACACTAGCTTCTTGAGTATCCGCTTGCTATCTGCTTTCCTTTGTACATGTGTACATATACTTATACATATACTTATACACATGTACTTCTTCAAAATCGTATTTTTTCTTTCATCGTGGCAATTATAGATTTTCTGCAACTTTTTTCATGCCGATTATTAATCCGATAAACATCTTTCCCATTTTGCTTTACATACACTACTACGAACTCATGAACAGAAAATTCGTATACCAACAAAATATTATCAGCAAGAAACACACCTTAAATAAAACACTTTTCACGCCGAAAAATAAGTAAAATAACATATTCAAGTGTTGCTTTTTAATCTGTATATCTCTTCACACCACTTGTTATTGAAAAATTTTATAGCACTGTATACTAGAAAAAAGTCGCTTAATCGCGCGACACTATCAACCGCCTGCCATTCGCATCAAACGAAATACAAACTCGAACTGAAAATGGTTGCTAAAATCATATACCATTGGAGCTCTTACTAAAGAAAAAGTGGGTGAACGTACAAGTGATGAGCACTGCGAAATCTTGGAGCATCGAATTCAAGAGAAAGGTGGTTTTACTAAAGAGAGAACAATTGTATAGACGTTGAGATTCAGTGTGACCAGCAGTGCAACTGGGATAATCACTGTTAGAACTCTTCCGGAGAAAACGGTAAAAAAACAAGCTGAATCAATATGTGATGCATAGCTTTAAAAAAGCTAAGGATATTAGTTGACAATTTACATAGTGGTACAGTTTTGCAAGGAACAACTTATTTTATTTATTTCCGGTACCTTTTTTCAAAACGTATTGATTCAAAATATTCGTTAAGGATGTGCAGCTTGGGAAAAAGTGTTCAGTTTGTCTCTCAACATTTGCTACACTGGTGATCCGACGTGATATTTAGTCCCGCAGCGTAAATACCAATCGAGCAGTGCCCACCAGAGTTGAGGATTGCAGCCTTGCGAGCCCAAGATCGACGCAAACTTCCGGTGCCTTCCTGGCAAATTCATCCGCAACTATGATTATCAGCAAACATGGAAGATGAATCAACGCAATTCCTTGAAATATAAAGGCCAGCCAATGGCACCGATGCGAAAAAACTGAACTGGGCAACTGAAAGATAGGTAAGGAACTCCCCTTCTAGCTTTAAGGGCATCGTAAGGGAGAGCAAAATTTTTATTTCCGCTTAGCTATCAGAGTAGATGTTTACTCCCTTGCCAATAGTTGCAATTGTTTTTTTTTTTTGTTGACGGTTTTCCTCCCATATAACAAATTTTCAACCATACAACAAACTTGCACCTTATTATACTAGAATGAACAAATTTTACAAATTCTGAATAAAAAGTGTGAAACTTTGTTGATTTTATTCAATCTTTGAAATTTGGTTTTTTGACCAATTCTTTTTTTTTCGCGGGATGTGTATTCATAGTTGAAGACAATAGCGATAAAGAATTAATACAGCTTTTGCCCGGACGGGCGTTCGGTTGCTACCCAGAGGATACTTGGTAAGCTTGAACCGGATGCAAAAAATAATGGCTTTTGGTCATTCCCTGGTGATTCAAGATAAAACTCTCCCACATACTTCTTCTTCTTATTTGGCACTACAACCGTCTAAGCGATTTTGGTCGAGCTCAACAAAGCACGCCAGTCGTTTCTCTTCTGTGCCAACTGACGCCAATTGAAGCCAAGTCCTTCTCCACATTGCAGTGGCGGCCTCCCTTTTCCTCTGCTACCACCAGCGTGTTCCGAGTTGAATACTTTCAGCGCCGGAGCGTCGGAGTCCATTCCAACGACATGGTCAAGCTATACTCAATACATCCGACCCAAAAATGTATCATCTAAGTCAGCGGACAGCGGCAGAGAAAATGGTTTGTACTATCCTCATCCTCCAAACAAGATGTACACAGTAGATCGTCGCTGATGGCTATTGTGTATGGCTGTTTTGCAGGTATCAATACCACACCACGGCTGTCATGAGAGTGTATGACATCTAACGACGTACTTTATTCCAAAGAAGACCCCAGATATCCGTTTTGTCATTAGGTACCAAAACCAAACGGTATTGCTACGACAACCTTCTACATAACTCTCTGTGCCCGGAATTCCGATCTTCGTGTCGCAATCCAAAAAAGTGCAGTCGACACATCATTTTCGTGGCTTCCTCCGGGATCGCTAAATTTAGAGGTGGCAAATCCAACAAAGCATTAAGACCCGGTCCTGGCGTTGTTATCATGGCGCCCGTAATGCCTATACACACCTTCCTTTGTAGCCTGTTTTACACAGAAACCGTTTTTTGGTCATGGCTCTGCGCCACCATACTACAGCACAGTACGTGGCGATTGGTCTGACTAAAACTATATATATTTAGAATACCATAGCCGGTCTCAGACCCCAGGTTTTGCCAATTTTCTGCAGAAAATCACAATTAATGAATTAATTGATTGTTAATTGTCCTTACAATTAAAACCCTCATTAAAAGCTCAACCCTGATTAAAAGTATAATAAATATTCACAGCAAACCAGTAGCTCGTTTCTGTAACAATTCTTACCAAGGTGAATTGAGATATGAATTCGCCGCCCTGTATGTACATATATTCTCTACCATTAGAAATAATCGGTAGAGATAAGTTACAGAAACGAGCCACAGTAGTGTTCATTTTATTTACGAACTATGTGTCCTCAATAGTTACTTGTCCCAACCACTCATTTTTAAGTTTCAAATATAATAATGCCTTCAAAGCATGAAATGGACTTTAACATTCTATTTGCTGCATAGCTCAGGGGTGGTCCCATACTAATTTGATTCAGATCCGATCAATGTTCCACCCGCCACGCTGGAATATCCCTACATTCAAATTACGAAAAACTTACTATTTTTGCCTGATGGTCAATCATTTTTGGATACTGTGTGACTAGTCACAGGAAATGTAGAACAAAGGTGATGAACGTTTTTACTTCCTTGGGGGGACAGCTAACGTGCTTTGGGTAAATACTGATATGTTCTCCAATTATAGTTATGCTGAGCTCGGAGCAAGCTTGGATTTTACTATTCGAAGAGTTGTCTAGGTTATACCAACAACTGAGACAATACATCATGTTACTTAGTAGCATACATGTATTCATATCAATGATCAAACACTGACAATTCATAAATAATAATTTTTTTGAAATTTAGTTAGTGCTAGACTATAGAAAACCACAAAAATGTCGCCTACTAAACCGGGGATGCCCTATCTTTCGGTGGTATTATCGACTTCCGGTCTCGACCGGAAGTGGGTTAACCTGACGGTAAGTCAATTTTTTCAAATTAGATATGCATATTTTTAGTACAGATTTGGATACTAAACTTGAAACTTTTTCCCAGAAGCGCCTTTTTCAACCCTTAAATGACATTCGAACTTCAACTCGTCCTAGATTTCCAAAATGGACCAAAATGTTTTTATTGTAAAACCAAAAAATATGAATTGCCAAGTCGAGGGCGCTATATCTTTTGGTCGTATTACGTCGTATTGCAGACTTCCTGTTTCGACCGGAAATGCGTTGTACTGACCGAAAGTCCATTTTTTAAATGGGATTTCATTTTTTAAACGTTGATTCGGTTTCGCGCATTAAAATACATACTTTTTGTCCATTTTTTTAAATAACACAATTTTTTTTTAATCTTTTTTTCTCGGAAGTGCCTTTTTCAATCTCTAAATGACCTTCGAACATTAACTCGTACTCGATTCCTATAGAAAATTATTCAAAAAGGCACTTCCGTGAAAAAATATTCAAACAAAAGTTGCGTATTTTTGTCCACAGAATCCGAATCTGTAGTAAAAACATACATGTGTAATTTGAAAAAACAAACATGGATTTCTGGTCAGTTTGACTTACTTCCGGTCCAAAGGAAAAAAGTTTCAGACAAGAGGTATGTATGTATGTATTTTTATGCGCAGAATCCGTATCAGTGTTAAACATATTTAATCCCATTTAAAGAAATTGACTTCCAGTCAGTATCACCCATTTCCGGTCGAAACCGGAAGTCGGTAATACGACCAAATGATAGAGCGTCCTCGACTTGGTAATTCATATTCCTTTGTTTTCCAATAAAAATATTTTCTTTCATTTCAGAAGTCCAGGAAGAGTTTAAGGTCGACGGTCATTCAGGCGTTGAAAACGGTGTTTCTGAGAAAAAAGTTTCAAACAAAAGTTACGTATTTTTATCCTTAGAATCCGAATCTGTACTAAAAACATGCATATCTAATTTGAAAAAATGGACTTCCGGTCAGTTTAACCCCCCTCCAGCCGAAACCCGAGTCGATAATAACACCAGAGATAGAGCATCCCCGGTTTAGTAGGAAACATTTTCGCGGTTTTCAATAAAAAAAAACATTTCCCCTTCATTTTAGAGAGGGTGGACAGATGGTCTAGGACACCGTGTATACACTAAAAAATTGTAAATATTAGCCGTCATCGATTCGCCAACAGTTAGCAAGTGGCGAAACGAACGAACTCAATGAGGTACAACCAAACTCGCTATCGTTTATCCGTGCTAGCTAACTTTGTTGTTGCTTTCACATGCAAAATTTTTCGTTAAGCGATCGGAACTCAAACATAGCAAGCAGCGAAGTGGCGAATGGATGACGGCTGTTGTAAGCAATTTGTTTATGTATAAAATTCCTCCTCGGAAAAATGCTCAGTTATGAGTTGTCCATGTTTGACCATCGACATACATACCCTGAAGTGAAAAATTATTAATTGTTAAATTTAACCAACTTGTACTTTTAATTAGCTATGACAAAACCAACTTAAAGTGAGTTGTTAAGTCGTGCAAAAGTCATGCAGAAGCAATCGGGAGTTTGTTTTCTTTGCAAGTTTCTATTTAAAATCCTCATACAAAAACTGCTTTGAAAACATTTTTTTCTGCACTTCACAAATATTTTTTCGAATTCAGATCAAATAAATGAAGATCGAGATTTTATATTAACATTTTGATGTTATGTCTGACAGAATTCGGATATAGGACCATTTACTGCGGAATGTGTAAACAAATAAACAAATATGCAGTGTTGAATGTAAATTAAATAAATAAAAATTTAAATTAAATAAATAAAAATGTATATTAAATAAATAAAAATGTAAAAAAAATAAAAAATATAATGTTTTTTTATTGATATTTTATGTCCAAAAATAGTTAGTTATAAGTTGTACTTATTTCATACGAAGTACCTCAGATGTCTAACAATTGTATTGGCAGGCATTTATCAAGAATTGTCTTTATTCTGTTCAGTCGCCGTAAAGTAAGGACCGCAATGGTTGTGGTGGTTGATTTAATGGTGGTAATTTAACTTTGATCCTTGGTGTCACCGACTGACTCCACTTGAAGATTTTTACCAATATATCGACTCCAGCGCCACCTTGCAGCTCTTTTTGTGCAATAGTGCATATTGCCCCTA